TCTTAAAAACAGCTGCCCAATCCTTTACCATATTTTTTATAGGCCTTCGCGGGCCGTCCCGCGGAACATGTAATAATACGCGCAGCAGAACGATTCAAGTCACTCCAAAACGCTTCAGACTATTCTAGAACATATTTCAAGTCGTCGATTTAACTGGACATAATTCATCAATCATTGCTTTATTTATTTTTTATTCAACACTATAATTAATTATTTGTATCATGCCCAAAACATATTAACATACAAAGTAAATAATTGCAGAAGATATTTTTCATTATCTTATAACTAATAAGTTCATAACCAATGTTTTAGTGTGCTGAAACCAAAAATTAAATAAAATGAAACATCAAATCAAAAATATCAATCTCAAATTAAATAAAAATAGAAACCAAATCAAAACACTACTAAATCTCGAATCGTCATCGCCGGAGCTGTAATCGTCATCATTGGAGCTCGAAACAAAAGCTCGAATCATCAGCATTGCCCGAGCTCCTTACGTTTTCTCAGGGGAGGTCACATGAATCGTCTTCTTCTCACTCATTTTCTCGTTTTTTCAGGTAAACAAAAAATAAAGAAAAAAATGCGGTCCATATACTCCCGCGATACCCGTTTCGGCCCATCCCACAAAAAATCCAATCCCGCAAAGACCCATCCCGCGAGGTCCGCAAATTTGTGGGTCTAGGAAACCTCATCCCAATACCTTTCCACGACAGTTTTTTACGGGCTAGACCCACGGTTTAGATCCATGATTACCATCTCTAAGCGCAGACACAACATTAGTATTCAATAAAGAAAGTAACCTTAATAAAGTTTGGGTTTGGGCTTAGCATACCAAACTATATTTATTGCATATATAGTTTTCATCAAGTAGCTGAGTTTATAGTTTGAAGATTTTAAAAATCATAGCTCCATTGTTCTCATGAAGTGATTGCAACCGTTTCAATTGGGTTTATGGTTTGGAAACATTAGAGAGATATGGAAAGGAATATCAGTAGACGTCAACCAAATTAACATTATAATCTCAGAATTATAAGAGAATGGTATTGAAATATATGAGCAAAAAGACACGTTCTAATCAAGTTTCATGCGGCTATAACATATAAAACCTACTCTCTACCAGTGAGTCAGTATATTTTCTAGCTAAGCATGAGATCAAGGAGAAATCATCTCTTAAAGTTGAAACAGTTTGAGAGGCGTCCATGACCTTTTTGTAGGTGAGGAACGTTAAGGGGGAGTTGTAAATTCTCTATCAAAAAAAAAACGTTAAGGAGGAGTTTAGAAGCGAAGGAAAAGTCGGTTGACGTGACATCTTAAGCTGAGCATAACAGTAGAGGAAAGGAGAAAAACGTGACTTTAAATATTTTTCTAAGTCGAAGCATCGTAATCTAATGGTTAAGGTTTCTAACTTGGTTTTCAGATTCGGGGTATGGCTAACTTTTTCTAGGTTAGAAGCATAAAATATTTTTTGGTCCTTTAGTCTCTTTTAAGATAAAATTTTCGACCTAAAATAAGTGATAGAAACAAAAATAATACAAAAAAAGGTCCTAAGCTGATTTGAACTTGTTACCCAACTATCTATATCAGCACACTGAACCACTGACGATCTTAGAAGAAATAGCCCCAAAATAATATTTAGTCTAAACGAGCCCGAAACAAATGTTTGGTCTGCTTCCTATCAAACAAGGCTTTGGTTCGAACCACAAACGGCAGTTTTTAGGTTTTAATTTCTAGAAAGATGAATTATGCAGAAAATTGGAGAAAATACTTATAAGAGATCTTCAGCATTACATAAAGAGTACCGTCAGGAATGAATCTCATAGAGCGGTTCAGGGTAATTCAAAGTACCGTCAAGGATGAATCTCATAGGACATCTCATGGTGATGCGCATTCAGACGTGAATCCGCATAAGATAGATAGAATTGTTGGCTGTTATATTGTCTATGTAATGTTTCTCATAATTTATAATAGCATAACTAGACAAAAAAAATTCTACACGGGCAATTCTCCAAATAGCCATTTTTTAAGTTTTTATCACAAAATAGATCTTAAAAATTAAAATGACCAAAATTATATTTTTTATTTTGAAAATTTTAAGTTTTTTTTTTTAAATTTGAAACTGTATCCCCAGAACCCCACTCCTCAACTCTAAACAAAAAAAATCTAGGATTAGTTAGCCCAAAGGGTATAAATGTATATTTAATAAAACATTTGATTTAAGTGCTATTTTGGTCATTTTAATTGTTAAGATCTATATTTGTGACAAAAACATTTTTAGGTTTATCCTAGTCATTTTCTCATTCTACGTTTCCACTAGTTTTATGAGGATTTTGTCTAACTATACAAATATTTTTTAGAGAAATTGTCAAAACTAGTTCTTATGCTTTTAAAGAGGTAACTAGACATTTATAACTTTAAGGTTAACTAATTTAGAATTTGATTTAGATTTGAATGGTAGGATTTAGTATTTTAATAAAATATAAATAAATATTTAAAATTTAAATTAAAAAATTATAAATATTTCAAAATAAAAATCTGAAAAAAACTAAAAAAGTTCAAAATTATTAAAACAAATTATAAAAAGTTCGAGTTTGTAAAAGTATAATTCAAAAACTTAAAATACCTTTTATTTTTAGTTTTTTATGAATTTTTAATTTTATTTATTTACTTAAATAATTATTTATAATTATAAATTAAAGACATAATTGACTCTCCTTAACAAAATCTCATGTTAATATATTTTAGAAAATGTCAGTTTAGAAAAGGTAAACTTCAATAATGCTACTAAATGGAAGGTAAATCCCCCAATATTTTTTTTATTAATCTACATTATTCATTTTTGGGAAATTGCCATCACTTTCTTAATATATTTTTCCATCTTTACCTTAACCATGTTTACTCTTGGTTGTAAGCTAGGTAGCATGGAATCGGAAACGGATACGTGGAAACGAAACGTGACAACGTGATTTTCAAAAAAATTAGAAATGGAATCGTTTTAGAAACGTTTATATATATATATATATATATATATATATATATATATATATATATATATATATGTGTGTGTGTGTGTGTGTGTGTGTGTGTGTGTGTGTATGATTAATCAACATGTAAACTTAATTTTTTTGTTCGATTTATGTAAAAAGAAATTTAAGTAAAATACGTATTTTTGGTACATTTTATTAAAATTATAATCAATAACTAGAAAAGTAAAACATATTATCGTTCGATAAAACTATGGAGCGTCTTCGTTCCAAATCAAATCATTATACTAAAATGATAATAAATATCAAATAATATCAAAATATATGATAATAAACATGTAAAATCACTAACATCAAATGTCAAATAGTTAATTTTGCGTTTCTAATTAGAATGGCGAGTTTCCGAATTAGAATCACGAGTTTTCAAATCAGAAACACAAGTTTCTATCGTGTTTCCAAAATGAAATTTTCAAGAAACGTGTTTCTAAAGAGTTTCCTCGAGTTTCCAAGAGATTCCGATTCCGAAACATTTCCGAAACAGGAAACGGACCTTGAACCGAGTTTCCATGCAACATAGGTTGCAAGAAAGTAAATAGACACTTATAATTTCAAGGTTGAGTAATCTAAACTTTGGGTTTAGATTTGAAGGGTGAGATTTTGGAGGGTATGATTTAGAATTTTAATAAAAATATAAAAATATACTTACAATGACAATAAAAATATTTAAAAGTAGTTTTAAAAAGTATTTTTGAATTTAAAAAATAATATTGTTTTTTTAAAGTGTGAAAAACAAGAATCAGAAAAATAAAAAGAAATAAACTTTCGAATTTGAAAAGTTGTAATTCGAAAACTTATATATATATATATATATATATTTAATTTAAATAATTATTTATATTTATAAATCAAAGGTATAAATGTCTTTTGCCCTTTAATGAAGTCCCCAACTTAATTATTTTTGAAAATATCTGTTTAGAAAATGTAAACATGAATAATAATACTAAATGAAAGGTAAAAATGAAATTCTCCCTTCATCTTTTTGTGGATTTGAAATACGAATTTTCTAGTGTAAAAACAATAATAATTTCTAAGTATGACTGGAAAGCTTTCACAAATGTGATTTTATATATTACTCCTTTCGTTTTATATTATGTTGTTTAAGTTTTTCACACATAATAAGAAAAATACTAAACATTTTGTTTTTCTCTAATTAATGTATTTATTTCTTGATAATTAATAAAATAAAAATACAGAAAGGAAACATTTAAGAAACATGTACATTGAAAAATAAAATGAAACAAAAACAAAATAAATTTAAAATTTAAACAATATCTTTATAATATTATTTGAAAATTCAGTTTTTATCTGTCGTTCTCACGTTAATTCCTATAACTGTCAATTAAAAATTTAACATTAGTGATTAATGAAAACTAAATTTAGTTTGGTCATAAACTTTTATATACATGCATAAACTTCAATAGATTATCAGTTATGTTTACACAACTTCGACTGACAACACTTTCATGTGTCCTCCCCAAAATAACTTATTATATACGATTATACAAAAATATATTATGAGTCCAAAAAAATAAACAAAATTAAATGCAACTAATAAAGTTCATACTATAATTTAGCCTATTTAGAATCATTTAACAATTACGATTCAGTTGGGATACATAAATGAAATCTAATATACTGAAAAGATAACTGAATCGATCAAAATATTTATAAGAAAAATTAGATGTCCATTTTTAAAAAATATTTTTGTCTTGCAGAATTATATTTTATAAATGTTTATATTGTGCATTAGTACGAAAAAAACTCAGCTAGTTAAATATAAAACGGAAGGATCCAGCCAGATGACACCATTAGTATGACATATATGACCCCATCTGAATAAAGTATTGCTCCCGCCAATGGATCCAGCCATATGACACCGACCGGAGACCTAACCGCATTAAGTCCTTTGTAATTTGTTTATATACATCCTTACACAAAAGCCTTAAGCAAAAAAACAATAAAAAAAACTTCACTTGTCTCTTCTTTTTGTTGATAACTAAAAATGGCTATCACAGCAAATCATCTCGCTACATGCAACGCCGTTAAATTGGATGGCTTCAGCTTCTTCTCCTCTTTCCCCTGCAGACCTAACCACTTCTTGTCTCGTCGTTTGCCACAGTCTATGATACGCAGAGTCCAAACTTCTTGTTGTTATCGTGTGACGTCAATGAAAGCTGTGAGTCCGCTTACGATGCCTGAGAAAGAACCAAGTAGCATCAGTGACGGTGTTGGAATCATCCGTTTCTTAACAGGAAAAAGCTACCTCATTAGTGGCGCAACGGGGTTTCTTGGTAAAGGTAAGACAAAACCTAAAACAGAGTTTTCTTCCTGTCCAAGTAAACTGTTATTTATTTTTATTTTTTTGTTGCAGTGTTGATAGAGAAATTACTGAGGGTAAGTCCTGAGGTTGGGAAAATTTTCATTCTAATCAAATCCAATAATCAAGAATCAGCCAACAAGCGACTCTATGATGAGGTTCTGGTTAAACATATTCATACTCAACTTATTTGGTTTGCTTTGTTTCTAAATTTTGTAGGGAAATTCTCACAAAAAGCACAATATTAGTTTTTATTATAAAAATAACAATAATTTTTAAAAATATATTAAAAGTATTTTTTTCAAAATATAATTACTCTAAGTTTTATACCATTAATTTAAATCATACATTCTAAACCCTAATCCATAAGCCCTATTCCATCAGAAAAAAAGTCTAAATACTAATTCTTAGCCATTTAATTCTAGAAGTATATTTGTTTTTATATCATATAATTTAATGTTGTTCTGGTCATCTTTTGGACTAATTTTGAGATAAAGATTTTTATGCTATTTTAGAGTGTTTCTCAATTTTGTATCGATTTGTGTCTCTCAGATCATCAGCTCGGACCTGTTCAAGGTTCTGAAGCAAATGCACGGGAGCTCTTATGAAGCTTTCATGAAGAACAAGTTGATTCCAATAATTGGAGACATCGGAGAGGAGAATCTAGGGATGAATTCTGAAGCAGCAGACAAGATAAGTGAGGAGATTGATGTCATTATAAACTGTGCTGGCCGTACAACGTTTGACGACAGGTGTTTCCCTTGTTTCTTCTACCTTTTCTGTTTCATTGCTTAAGATATAACTGTTTTAATGAACAAAGGGAAACAGATACGACGCTGCCCTAAGTGTCAATGCTCTTGGACCTGATAGACTATTACGATTCGGAGAGGAATGCAAGAAACTGAAACTTTTCCTCCATGTTTCAACTGGTATTGAGTTAGAATATTTAGGGTTTAAGAGAAGCTTAGGGAACTGATTTCATATTTTGTTATATATATAGCTTTTGTGACTGGTAAGAGAAAGGGAACAGTACTGGAGACTCCTCTATGCATTGGAGAAAACATAACTCCTGACTTGAACATCGAAACCGAGGTGAAACTAACTTCAGAAGCTGTAAGGAAGTTCCATGGCAGTGAAAGATCAAAGAAACTGAAAGAACTTGGTTATGAAAGGTGAGAATCAAAGATAAATTACTTTATGTATCTATTACGAGCATCAACACTGATATGATTTCTCAAATAAATATGTTACAAATATAATATCAATATCATTTATTTGACGATTAAATAGATAGTTGATTACACTGTTACTAGGTGATTTTCCCGTGCTCAAGCACGGGTATAAATATTTATTAAGTAAATATACTATAATAATTGATTACTATTTACTTTTAATTTTCAATTAATTTATAATTTGCATACATGATTTATATTAATAGTATTATTTTACTTTAATTAGACATATTATTTTAGAAATATTATATCTAGTTAATTTTATTATTTTATAGTCGATTTTACTGTTATTATTTGGATATATTAGATTACATTCTTTTATCTGAATTCAACTATAATATTTTTATTCTAAATATATTAAATTTTGATTAATTCTATTATTTATTTTTAGGTTGTTTGCTGTCTCAGATGTCAATATATTTTAGAAAAGTTATTTATAACTTAAGATATATTATGCCTATAATGAAATATAAAATAATTTTGATTTCAAATTACATCAATCGATATAAAGATAATCTTTGAAGTCTCATGCATATATATAAATTTCACAAAATAAATCAAATTAAATTAATATTATTTATCATTTAAATGTGCACGTATTTTCATAATATTTATAAAGTTATATGTTTCTTTAAAATATAGTAGAAAATAAAGCAATAATCAGTAGGAAGTTACATACTTAAGTAACTCATATATTTTTGGAGATTCATGAACACATATCAATATTTACAATAACTAAAATATTTTATAAATTCTAAATAGTTTATATCTTAGATTTATTGAATGATAAACTGAAATTATTTTAAATAATCTTAAAAATGAGAATTCGGATTTGCTTTGGTATTTTTGTTATGGTTATATTAAGTTACACAAACATAAATTTTTTAAAAAAAAATTAAAATTAAGAAACATATAATTTAAATAATGATAGAACATAACATATCTATGTTATTAAAGTATATAGTGGTATGATATTTTAAAATATTTTGTAATTATTTGATTAAAAGATGTTTATTGTTGAAAAATATTTTAATTTCTCTTAAAATTAAGCAGTAAAAATTGTGGTTGTATTTGAGAAATCATATTATATAAGTAAAATTTAATTTATAGATATTTTTTTTTGCTTTAGTTGAAAGATACTATAGTCAACTAAATATATGAAAATAAATAAAATATTCAATAATTTTAATTAAAACTATTTTAGTTGATAAAAACATATACTTGTTTATGTTACTTAAAATTATGTTTAAAAGTAATTTTTTTTTCAAATATCAAAATTATATGTGTGAATTTTTGTTATGAAATCACATTATATAAAAATATATTTTTCATATAAGAAAATACAGATATAAAGAAAATATTTTATTAATTAAAATGTACATTTTATGTTATTTAAAATATTTTTAATGGATGTTACTATTTTGTTAATTCTCCCTTTTAATGAAACCATATTATATAACATATATTTTCGTTTTTTAATTTTTCCTTTTAAATTTTATAGATGTTTTTTCTATTATAAATTTTAGTTGGAAATTTTTAAAAAGGAAACTAAATACAAAATTAATAATACTATTTTACTATTTTGATAGTATATTACTATTTTGTGAAATTTCCCTTTTTAATGAAATCATATTATATAAACATATATTTTCGTTTTTAAATTTAATAATTTTTTTCCTTTTTATTATAAAAGTTATTTGGAATGTTTTAAAAAGGAAACTAAACATAAAATTAATAATATTATTTAAATATACTATGTAAATATATTCATCAAGGGTATCATAGTAATCAACCGGTGTAAGAGTCAACGTGAGCGCGCCACATAGGAAAGTGACTTCTCAAATAATATTATAGAGATCCTTATAATGTATTAAAAAGTTAATAATATTATTGTCAATTCTTTTATTTAGTTTCAAAAATTTCCAAAAATTTCCAAAAATTTCCAAAAATTTCCAAAAATATATGCAATAAAAAAGAAACTTTTTATTAAGTCATAAAAAACATATTGAAAACGAAAAAAAAAAAATATATATATATATATAATATGATTTCATAAAAAAAAAGTTCACAAAATAGTAATAATACATTTAAGAATACTTTTAAATCACATACAATATACTTTTAGAGCAATAAAAATAGTTTATAATTAGTATTATTGATTTTTTTTTATTTTTTTCATGTATTTAGTTAACTATAATATCTTTCAATTACATTAAATTATCTATAAATTATATTTTACTTATATAATATTATTTTCAAATAAAATCACAATTTTGTGTAGTGCTTATTTTTAAGAGATATTAAAAAAATTAACAATAAACATCGCTTGAGAAAATAATTAATAATTAGTTTAAGGAGCTAGATATATGATATTTTATCATTATCAAAATTATTTGGTTTTTTAATATTAATTTTTTTAAAAACATTTATGTTCTTATATTTGTGAAACTAAATATAACCATAATCAAAATACCAAAAAAAATCTGAATTCCCGATTTTATGATTATTTAAAATAAATTTCAGTTTACATTCAATAAATTTAAAGCATAAAGTTATATAATTTTTATAAATATTTTAATTATTGTAATTATTGCAACTACATTCCATGTAAGCTTCTATTGATCATAGGATAACTCAAAACATATTAAAAATGAAAATAAATATTAACCAACTCTTACAGTTTTAGTTCTTTTGTAAAATTTATATATATGCATGAGACTTTAGAATATTATCATTATATTAATTTATGTATTTTGGAATCATTCACTTTAGTTAATTTTTAATTCATTCTAAGCACAATATATCTTAAGTTATACATAATTTCCAAAAATATATTTACATATCTAAGACAACATCCACTATATGCAAATAAGTAATTAATTTAAAATTAATATATTTAAAAAATATTACAGTTGAATTCAGAGATGCAATCTAATTTATTCAAATGATAACTAAATCAACCGTAAAAATAATAAAATCGGCTACATATAACATATATAAAATAATAGTATAGTTAAAGTAATATAATATTGTTAATATAAATGATGCATACAAATTATAAATTAATTTAAAATTAAAACTAAATAGTAATCAATTATTATCATATATTTACTTTAAAAATATGTATACCCGTGCATGAGCATGGAAAAATCACCTAGTTTTCAATATAAAAAAAAACAATACCAATAACAAAAGATTATGTTGCATAAGAGTCTCTGTAAACTTTTTTAAGCAACTTTATTTCCTGTTTCTCTTTTCTTTCTGTTTATCCCGTTACTATAATCTGACAACCTCAATGCTGCTGCGGTCTTAAGTACAGAATCTGAAAACTTATGTTTGATCTTGTGATGACAAAAACAGAGCTCAAAGCTATGGATGGGAAAAGGTTTACACATTCACCAAAGCCATGGGTGAGTCTTTAATTCACAGAAAGCTAGGAGCCTTGCCTGTGGTGATCATAAGACCTAGTTGTATAGAAAGCTCCTACAAGGAGCCTTTCCCTGGCTGGCTCCAAGGATTAAGGTTAATAGTTTTCCTTCCCAAAGACAAAAAGACTTGTAAATTAGCTTTTTGTTTTAATTAACATATTTATTTGGATTTTATATTAAACAATAAAATAGGATGACTGCTCCATTAATATTGGGCAATGGAAAAGACCAGATTCCTGACTTGTTGGGAGATTATCAATCTTCTTGTGATGTTATACCTGTTGATATGGTTGCTAACGCGATAATAGCAGCCATGGCAAAGCATGGTTGTGGCAATGTACTACCAGAGGTCAAAGTTTACAATGTTACTTCAACATCTCATGCTCATCCCCTGCAAATGGGGGAGATTATGGACTTCTCTCATAAACATCTGTGTAACTCGCCATTAACTGAGAAAACAACCAAAGACTTGGAACGTATGAAATTCCACAGTTCCTTAGAGGAATTCACTTCCTCTGTATCCAACGCAATAACAAAACAGGAAAGAGAGATGAAGAATGGAGAAGGAGAGGAAGAGTCACATACCACATTGAGCATGAAAGGGAAGAGGAAGCTTAAGTATTTTGTGTCCCTAGCAAAAACATATCAGCCTTACATGTTCTTTCAAGCCCGGTAAATATCATTACATGAACTTGGTTTTATTTACTAAGCTAGAACATGGTATCAGATTTATGACGTATATAGTAAATATATACCAGGTTTGATGACACCAATACAAGGAGACTGCTACAGGAGTTGTCAATGGAAGAGAGAAAGATGTTTGAATTTGATGGCAGTTGTATTGATTGGGAGCATTACTTTATCAACATTCATCTTTCAGGTCTCAAAAGGGAACTCTTTCGTCTGAGATCCAGTTAAGAAGAGTGATTTAAAAGACAAACTGATGCAACACATCCGTATCCAGTTATGTGTGGTGTCTGATGTGTTCTCCTGTTAAAATTGGTTTTGTATTTTCCTTGTTCTAAAATGTGTTGTTTCCTTTTTGCCAAGTTTCTTTATAGCTTTAGAAAGTGTTAAATTACAGTATAACTTCTTTAAATTAATATTCTATATAAATTAATATACACTAAAATTTTATATAAAATAATATAGTTTTATAATAGTTTTGGTTTTAAATTAATATTCTATATAAATTAATATATAATAAAAGTTTCTATAAAATAATATAGTTTTATAATAGTTTTGGTGTAATCCCAACATTTTTAATTTATAAAAGTTTCACTATGTGTTAAAAAAAAAAGGTTTCACTATATAGGAAAGGAAATGAAACGATTAGTCCTTGTTTTACTGATTCGTATCTCGTGCAATGACATGTAGCATTGGATCCCACACTGAAGCAGTTCTAATAAAGATATGAACCATAAATAAAGCTAGCAGTTCACTGATACTTTTAAGAGAAAATAAAAGGATTATCTTCTTCTTCCTTGTGACATTACATTTCAAAAATTTCCATTACAACAATAATAGGTCTTATAAAAGAAGTTGGTAAACAGAGATAAAAATTGCACTGGGGGCTTAAAGCCTGACAATTAGTGCCTAGCGGTTCTGCATGTACTCGAAGCTCAAGGGTTGCTGACAGAACTGTGCCTGGAGAAACAAGTCACAACAGTATTCAGTCCATATTGTCAAAGAGAGCTCAGGAAAGCAGAAAAAAAAAGTAAATGTTATTTTACCTGAAGAGAAGCATTCCTGAACTGCTCATACGAATGAGTATAGATCATAGGCCACTGCATATACATTGCATCCGCTGAAGGCTGGTGTACAACTGTGGTGCCATAAGGACTCATGATAGCGCTTGCAGGTGGTCCAAAGTTGAGAGCAGCAGGAGTATTTGGGACATGGTTATATCCGGTAAATCCCATTCCATAGTATGGTGGTGGCTGCATCATGTTGAAGGGTGGTGGATGGGAATTCTGATTCACCGGAAGGCTCCTAATGTACCTACATTCATACATGAAGCCAATCAAGTTTCAACAATCACACATAAATCTGAATAGCTAAGCCAGTAAACAAATGGATGCTTGAAATACCTTTTGTAATTGCGGTCATAATCAGGATCAAACCGATCTTTCTCACTGTCTCTAAGAATTGCAACACGAGATGTTTCCCTGTTCTTTATCTCAACGTAAGCATTCTTAGGTGCTTGATTCTCATCTCTGCCAAGACTTGTACTCCTCTCACAAACCTGAGTTTCAGACGGAGATGATTCATCACCACTGAAGCCAGTGAGACCATTAAAAATCCGTGCTCTAGCCTTGTCATAGTCTTCTTTCCTCTCTTCAACACTCCTAAGAGGACCACGTTTCTTTTCAACTTCACCAGCATCGTATCCAGATCCTTTAGAAGGTCGAGTCTTGATAGAAACTTTCATGTGCTCAAACTTACCATTCTCTGACTGTTTAGCCACCGGGATATCAGACAACCTAACCGCAGGAAACCTGCTCGCCGCTGTTTTCGTCACAAGGATTTTGTTCTCATTGCCATCCACACCGCCGTCTTGAACCAATGTAGCTAGTCCATAGTGGTTAGCAACACGATGAGCGGCAAGGCGGAGATACGAAGTAGGGAAATGCTGGAACTCGAACTGCTGCTGCTCATGGCTCTGTAAGAACCGTTGAACATCAAGCTCCATCCGCAAAACTAATACAAGAAGAAAAACAAAAAGGCTTTAGACACATAAGAACAACACAAACGCCAAGCTAGGCACTATAACTCAAACAACACAGAAGTAACACTCATAATGCCAAAACCAACTTCATGAAACATACTCATACAAAAACGTTTACTCCTTTGGTAACATCAACCATGGCTTTACAGTACAATGGTAATGGGCATCTCCATAAACGTAAATCTAAGAAGAGAACCGATTCAAAGAAGTAGCTACACATCAAAATCACCCAAATTGACATAACTATCCAAAGATCTAAGCTAAAGCTGAGTAAAAATCCAACTTCATGAATCATACCCACAAAATAAAGTTTACTACTTTGATAACACCAACCATGATTTTACAGTTACAAGGTTAATGGGCATCTCCATAACCTCAAATCTAAGTAGCAACAAATCAAAATAACCCAAATTGACCTAATTAGACAAGAAAAATCCAAACTTTATTATGCTCAGATTAGGGTTTGTAAGATGAATCAGAGGAGGAAGCTTACTGGTGAGACGATGACGAGGGTTCTGCAAAGCCTCGACCAGAAAAGGATCCACCGTAATTCCATTCTCTCCGGTAACCACAGCGGCGGTTTCCGACAGCGGCGTTGCGAAAGATGGGTCCATGAGATAGATGTTTCCAGAAAGTCTCCTCTACCGAGAAGGTTGACCTCAGCTTCTCTTTCTTACCCTTTTTCTCTCGCAGCAAAAGAGAGAAGAAGAAAGTCAAGAGGAAGAGGAGAATCGAAACCGAAACATTGACGGCGGAGAGAGAGAGAGGAGAGGAGAGGAAGATAAGACCTTTAAGATGCGAAACCTTATCTCTCTCTCTCTCTCGGGAAGGCAAAGTAAACGAGAGGGAAAGGAAACTTTATATTTTTTTCCTCCTTTTCTTATTATTTGTTTCCTTTTTAATGAAAATAAATATCTCATATTGTAACATGAATTTTCCTCCTATATATATATATATTTTCAAATATTATATATAATTTTTCTATACATGTATTTCTCAAACAAAAATCATGGCTTTAAATCACTTGATTTTACATGAACTTTAATATCAACACATTTATATATAAACTATGTGATTTTCCCGTGCTCATGCACGGACATAAATATTTATAAAATAAATATATTATAATACTTGATTGATATTTACTTTAACTTTTATATTAATTTATAGTTTTTATGTATAATTATATTAATAATATTATATTATTTTAGTTATATATAATTTTAGATATATTATTTTTAGTTAGTTTATCATTTGGATATATATATATATATATATATATATATATATTGGATTCTATCTATTTCTCTGAATTCGACTATAATCTTTTTTATTCTAAATATCTTAAATTTTTGATTAATTGTTTTATTTACATTTATGTTGGTTGTTATCTTAGAAATATAAGTATATCTTAGTAAGATTATGTATTTTAATATTTTTTGTGCTTAGAACGAAAAAAATAAAAACTAAAGTGTCTGATTCTAAATTACATACATAAGTAATAATAAATTTTCAGAAGCTTATGAAAACATATCAATATTTACAATAATTAAATAGTTTAGAAATTTTAAATAATTTATGCCTTAGATTGATTGGATGGTAAACTGAAATTTATTTTAAATAATTTTTAAAATAAAGAATTATGATTTTCTTAAGTATTTTGATTATGGTTATATTAAATTCCACAAACATAAAAACAGAAAATTAAACATCAAAAGAGTTATTAAGAAAACATATAATTTTAAATTATATTATATAAGTAAAATATAATTTATATTTTTTGCTGTAACGGTAAGATATTATAATCAAATAAATATACTAATTATAATTTTTTTGTCAATTAAACATATATCAGTTTATGTTACTTAATTATTTTATGTAATCATCTAATGAAATAGATAGATATATACAAAAACTAATTACTTTGAAAATATATATTTTATTGTTTAAATTGTTTTTTTTTAAGAAAAAATATTTCTTTTTCTAATATCAAGATTATTTGTATGAATTTTTTTTATGAAAACACATTATATACAAATATTTTTTTCATCTAACAAGATATATATATAAAGTATAATTACTTAAAAAGTATAATTTATGTTATTTAAAAATATATTTAAGTAAAATATTACTATTTTGTAAACTTTCCTTTTTTTATGAAACCATATTATATATATACTTATTTTTCGTTTTTAAATAGTTTTGTAAATTTTAGAAATATTTCCTTTTTGTTTTATATCGTTATTTGGAAGATTTTAAAAAGGAAATAATAATATTTAAATATATTTCTAATTCATTAGGGGTATCATATTAATCAACCAGCGTGAGAGTTAACGTGAGCGCGACACCTAAGAAAGTGACTTCTCAAATATTATTATAGAGATATCAAAATAACATATTTGTTATATTGCTATCAAACGGTACTGAAAGCATATCCATAATATGGTGTGAGTATTGTTAATCAACTCTAAATGGATATTAGTGGGATTTAAATTTCTAAAAAGTTTATTGATTTTAAAAGTTGAGAGATTTATTAAATTTGAAAAGAGTTGTAGAAAATTTTGTATATTGTGAAAATCTATGAAAATAAATTATTATAATCATTTTAAGAATTTAAGGGATATATGTAATATTCTCAAAATCTTATTTTATGAATTAAAATGTTAAGAATATAACTTCCAATAACACATACTATAATATATTTGTAAAATCATTAAAATCTAAAACTTTTGAATAACAATTGATTTTGTACAGAATTATAAAATCATCAAATCAATAATAGTAAATATTAATGAAAATGTAAAAATTAATAAACCAATAACACTAAACTTGAAAATTCTTATAGTTGTTATAAATCTTATGCATCCTGACACTCCCTAAAAACTTAGAATTTTCTAAAAATCAGTTTAAATGGTGTTTGGGTGTCTGCCAGCTTAATTCAAAGTCAGTTTTCAAAATATATATGCATTTAAAAATTAGTTTTAACACTCATTTCCTTAACTCTTTATAAGTCATAGGTTGATACAAAGGTGAATAGGTTGATATATGTGTGAATCCAAAGTTTTTCTCAGTGGGGACACATACTAGAACATGTGTAAACTTACATATAATTATAGGTGTAGACATCAAATTTATTAAAAGGAGTAGCTACTTAGATTTAAGTTGGCCTAACTATATATGATACTTTTTTGCCTCATTTACTAAATTTTAAAATTATTATGGGGCCATGTGCACCCAATCCTCTACCTAGATTTGCTACTAGTTGATCTGGGTAAAATTCTCAGATATTTTTAATGAAGCAAAAATTATTCTGTCATACTCTTAAGAATTCTCACATGTTCTCTACTCTTGATTAAATAAGATATTTTCAATTTTACCCTTACGTTTTCCTTCCTCAATTTAAAATTTGAATTTCGAATTTTAGGTATCAAATTTAAAATTTTAGTAAAACTAGGAACCAAGTTGAACTAGATTATACCATTGTCGAAATACAACTTAATATAATTATGTCTTAGTTTTACCAAGTTATACCTCAACGATGGTATAACTTAGTATAACTAGGTTTTAGTTACACCAAGTTATACAGTTTTATCAAGTTACACTCGATTGTTAGTATAACTAGGTTCTAGTTTTACCAAGTTGTACATTGACAAATGTACAATTTGGTAAAACTAAAAACTAGTTACACCAAGTTATACAGTATTACCAAGTTACACTCGATTGTTAGTACAACTTAGTAAAATTGTTTTTCTGGATTTGTAGTTTCATTTTCATATTCTAAATAAAAAACTAAAAATACAGAAAAATTAATGGAGAAGAAGACAGACCTAGGAAAAGCAAAGACAAAACTAACAAAAATGGAGACGGAACTAACAAGGAAGAAGACACAAAGGAAGAAAAAGCGCAGGAAACGAAAGAGAAGGGGGAGGATGTGGAAGTGGAGGAGAAAGATGAAACAGAGGACAAAGGGAAAAATAAAGAAGAGAAAAATGAGTAAAGTTTACCAGAATCCTTTAACAAAAAAATATAATGGAAGAAGAATGAGAGAAAGTGTTTTGAAGAAGACAAGAATGAAAAAAGCGTTAGATCTGTAGAGATAAAAAAATTAGGTTTAGTGGTATAATTTGTAAATAAGTAGATCCATTAAGGGTTTATTGGATTTTTAGTCAATTTTTATATTAAAATTAAATGAAAAAATTAAGAAAAAAGAGTATATGAGAATATAATTTTTGGATGAAGAGTATATGAGCAATTGGTTCAGTTGATCTCAATGAAATAACATTTTCTATAATTATTATTATAAAAGTAAAAAAAAAAAAACAGAGGAGATGATGTCATGTAATTTTGTTTTTTTGGTAAAATGTCATGTAAACTTTTTTGGAGAGGTAACGAGTAATTTAGTGGCTACGTCAAAGTATAATTTAAATTTTAATATGACCTTCAGATTACCTACGTTGTTACATAAGTAATCTAAATCTTAAATCAACAAAGTGCAATCAAGTTTGTGAATATATAGCTATTCTTTTGTAAATATATAACTATTCTTTATTCTCAGGTAACAGTTTTTTTTTTCAAAACAAGTGACTGAGAGATGGATCTAAAAAGGCACATCGATTTGGATGAATGAAAAGTGTTTGACGAACGTGAAAGAGAAAAAAAAAAAGTGCTTAACGAACATGAAAAAGATGATCGAAAGAGAGAGACCAAGGTATGGGGCTTGATGAACAAAAATAAATATAACTAAGGCATGATTCTTCATTTGCAATGGGTTATTCTTTTTAAAATAGTAACAAAAATGTTTTTAAAATACATAAAATGTTAAAATTTGAGTGATATATTTTACATATGAATTATCTTCTAATTCAGTTATTTTTTTCTAATCAAATGAGTTATAAAAATCTATCAACTTTGAATAACACAACATTTTAAATGCTATATTCAAATATTTAATTGAATAACAATAGTTATTAATTTATTTACTAGAATTTTGATCCGCGTTTCTAAAGCTCGGATTATTTTTGAATTTTAAACAAATTTTGGGATTGCTATACATTATTAATTTACAAAAGTATCAGATTGGACAAAAAGAAGGATCTTTTAAAAAATTAGATAATTTATGAATTAATTTATTTGAGATTTTGTCTGTACACTTTTATGTAACTCTGTCTCAAACCTCGGCAATTTACTCGGACTTAAAAAAACCGAATCGAAACTGACACAAAATACATGTCTGTTTAAATCCAAGGCAAAGTACTTATTGGATATTTTTTTGGACACGTGGGTCTCTATTCGAGTCAGAGTTCTATCTAAGACCCGATGAGTATCCAAAATATCCAAAATATTTTGTGTATATTAGATATATTTGGTTATTTCATATATGTTTTCGGTATTACTTGTATTTTAAAGTTTTGGTTTAGTTTTTTGGTTATAGTTTTTGGTTTAAGGTAAATTTTCAAAAAAAAATTAAATATAAATTTTGGATACCCACATAAAATTTTGGATAAATTTAGGTTCCTCAAATCAAATTTCAGATAAAATATTGGATTTTTGGATATTTGAATTTGTTTTGAGTAGTTTTTAGGTTTCAGACTTTTTTGTGTTTCAAGAACTTTTTGGGTTTTCACTTTTCAAGTATATTTAGGATATGAATAAGTAATTACATGTATTTTATAACTATTTGAATTATAGATCTGAATCCAGCCGGATCCGAGGAAACCCCACTCGAGCCAGAAATTTGCAAATGTCTGATTAAATTAAATGTCTAACTAAGACTTGAAAGATCTAGACTTGACACGAAGGTC